ATGTTTTTTGAAGTTTTCGTAAAAATCTGCAACCAAACAATGGCGCGTGAACTTTTTGTGTGTTTCCCTCCAGCTGAAAACAAACTTATTACGACGAGTAACATACGTCCAGTGAATAAAAACGGAAAGAAACCTGTAGAGAAATGATATTTCTTCCGCTGCACAATTTTACGACGGTAGAATATTTTTCTATTGAGAAAAACTCGTAAATTTTCTGTCAACATACCTGCGAAGACAAATCAGTCGGTTCTACTTTAACTATTAATATCTTTCTACTGTGATCATTGAAAAATACACAGTTTATCTAACCTGCAAGATTAATGACTGTTGAGCAATTTGATATGCTATATGTGAATGTTTTTGATAGAATTATACTAAAAATTATCATAAAAGTCTTTGAAGAAGCACATAATCATTTTACCGAGATCGCGTAATGGATTTTACAAGTTATTTTTAAGGGTGTCTTCGTCGAGGTCCGCGTTCGTCTGTTATAAATAAACGAGGCCTTGAATGGCGTTATTTTCAAATCGTTATTCGTAGTATAAACTTCGTAAAGGATAATATTTTGAATCGTTCAAAATGGCAGACGTAGCAGCACCAGCACCAGCACCAGCTAAATCACCAAAGAAAAAGGCAGCAGCTAAGCCAAAGAAGCCTTCAGCACATCCTAAATACAGCGAGATGATTGGAAAAGCCATCGCTGCTTTGAAAGAACGTGGAGGTTCCTCAAGGCAAGCAATTTTGAAGTACATCATGGCCAACTTCAACGTCGGAAAAGATGCCAAGTCAGTAAACGCTCATTTAAAACTTGCACTCAGAGCCGGAGTTAAGAACAACAGTTTGAAGCAGTCCAAGGGAACTGGAGCATCCGGATCTTTCAGAATTGGAGAAGCAAAACAAGCTAAAAAGAAGCCAGCAAAGGCAAAGAAAGCAGCTAAACCTAAGGCTGCCAAGCCAAAGAAGGCAAAGAGCACACCTAAGAAAAAGAAGGCAGCAAAGAAACCAGCTGGAGAGAAAAAGGCAGCCAAGCCTAAAGCTAAGAAACCAGCAGCAAAGAAAGCAGCCAAGCCAAAGAAGGCAGCCAAGTCACCAGCTAAAAAGAAGGCAGCCAAACCAAAAGCCAAGAAGACACCAAAGAAGAAGTAAACTGTTCCAGACTACAGTCTGCAGAGGCTATTCAGCCACCAAAAGCCCTTTTAAGGGCTACCCAATTTGTTCAAAAAGAATCTACAATTGTTGTACATTAGTTATCAAACTAAATATAGCTGAGCCCTACCCTGCCCTTTTCTTTTTTCTTCACTTTGCACTGTTCTTTGAAATATTTTTTTCAGTCAAATTATTTCCATTTTTTGCTTCATTTCACTCCTTAAGAGTATACTATTTCTAACATTTATGCAGTTGCCTTTTGGGAAAATTATTTTTAGTAAGGAAATATTAAAGATATATCATTTTACTTTCACGCACATATTTTTTGAACTGATTAAAATTCTTTCAAAATAATATTCGATTAAAATACAATCTAAGAATAAAGGAAGTGATATTTTTTTTTATTCATTCTCTTTTTTTTTGGGGGGGGGGGGGGGTTGGGGGGCAAATCACACATTTAAACACTTCAACCAACTAATTCATTTTTCTCATTATGTGATTTTTTTCTCCCTTCTTATTCATTTTCATCTTGACTGAAATTTTTTAGAGGACTTTTTCTACACGTATGCAATGTCAAAGGTTGGACGTCTATTTCATATCAACTAGTCAATGGGGAGGTAACTCTAAATTAAACTCAGTACTTTTTTCGGTACTAATATACTGTAAAAATGTGCTGATTATGTGACGTCCATTTTCACTGAACTAGTACACAATTTTATTTAGGGGCCAGCTGAGGACCACCTCCGGGTGCGGGATTTTCTCGCTGCGTTGAAGACCCATTGGTGGCCTTCGGCTGTTGTCTGCTCTTTGGTCGGGTTGTTGTCTCTTTGACATCATGATTCCCCATTTGCATTCTCAATTTTACAATACAAAAGATGTATAGATGTATTGTCAACATACAAGTAAACAAATAGAAAATGAATGCAGTGACGTTTGTTATTTTTTGTTTTTGTTTTTTTTTTTGTCAAAATTACTACAATTGTGTATTAAAAGTTAGCAGGAAACTCTAAAGTATGGAAGTTTTTGTTAAACATTTAACAGTTCTGCAATTATTTTTCATTTTATTACATGCAGATATATATAGTGCGAGTGTACTTACATTCATATATCATCAGTCTTTTATGTTTGGACTCGCTTTTCATCGTGGTTCTATCGTTGGAGATGTGTGTTTGGGGTTGGGGGATAGTAAAAGGAGCGTTCCTGTTATTGACGATAGCTGATTATGTAACCATATTGATACTTTTCTTCACCTCTCGAATTTTCCTTTGTTTTACTCGTGTATGAAATAAATGCACCTACTTGCTTTTATGTTTCTTTAAAATGGGTTGTCCTGTTTGTTTTTCTCTTCTTTTTTCTCTCTGTTTTTTAGTGTTTTGACGACTTGTCTGTGTCTTTGTTATGTCATTTTAATCTGTTCAAAGCACGCGAGATGAATAAACCAGAAGCAATACAGTGACGTCACATACGTAGCATGTCTACTGTTATGAACTAAAACAAGGATGGACGGACATTTGTACAAAAGGTAAGAAAAGGGTTTATTTCTTTGATAACATGTATCATGCATTTTAAAGGATTGTTTACGAAATTGTAGGATTCTAATATAACAGAAGAGGTTATTTTCATATTGAAATGACAGCAACTTAACGACACAGAAAAACAAAGTCTTCTAGTATATACAGACAATGTGTGACTGACAGTATTAAATGCGCTTATTTGTGTATACATTGAGAAACGTTTGTTGCTGCCGTTTTCAATTAAGACTACCCTAACCCCCGGACAGCAAACACACCTCTTTTCGCCAAGACATTTTCCTTCATTTGCGATAAATACTGTATATTGAGACAGAGAAAAGGCGTTCAATGTCAATATGAAAAGAATAGCTTCAAATATGATAATTCATAAAAACATTTAAAGAAGAAAATAAAAAAGGAGATAGAAAGTAATAAAAAGCCCAAGAATGAAATATTTGATTATAGATTAAGTCCTCTATTGGAAATAAAAAATCTATCGATCTGGTGTTGTTGGGTTTCTGTCCCAAAGAACATGCCAAACTTGTCCTGTTGTTTACGTTTCTAACCATAGCTGAAAAGAGGGATAGGATTCACGTTTGATAGAAATTGATTCTTATTTCTTTTTTTCTGGATTTGATACGACTAAGAGAGAACTAGAAAGAAAAAGTTTTAAATTTCTACTGGTTGTCAACATCATGAGGTTGTCCTAACATGTAGAAAATAGTTCCATCATGATGGGAATAAAAAACGACCTAAATAGTACTTTGGATTTACTATTAAAGTGTGTGTTCTATTCATAAACAACTAAATTTCATGTCAAACAATTACTCCCCCCCCCCAAAAAAAAAAATAATCCTCCACAAAAATGAAAAAGAAACAGAAAAAAAGGTTTACAAATTAAGAAAGAAAGAAAAACCCATAGCATGTTGAGACTTGAACTAACATCCATTAAACGCTATGCTAATTGGCCTTCACAGAAATCAACAGACAATAGAGAAACCTATTTATTTATTTTTTTAACGGAGAATATCTTTTTCTTCGTTTCAATCTTGCTTTGGGATTCTTTTTACATTAAATCTGCTTGTTAATGTTGCAATAGGTAACAAATATTTCAGTCCAACTATCATTCATTGAAAATATATACACCCCCCTTTTCCTCGGGATTTTTTTTTGTGGGGGAAGGGGTTCAGTTAAATACAGTGGAGACTATTTTTGCCCCAAGTCTAATGGTTAACATTGGTGTGATTTTTGTCTTTATGTCTCTTTTGAATCGTCCGTGTGTATGCTGCTTCACCCGGTACCGATTCTGGTCTTATACTTGCCTAGCCTATATAGGAAAAATGCATATTTATGGCCAGAGTCTTCACCGTGAACCCCCCCCCCCCTTTTTTTAAAAACAGATGAACCTTTGTAATTGTTAATTTAGAGGCAAATGATGTGTACAACTTTCGAATTATAAAAATACAAGAATCTTGGGTTTGGTTGGTATATTTTGTATTGAAACTTTCAGGTGGCCAGTTCGAGCACGGACCATCGTTTAATTGATAATAAAATTAAGTACATATATTTTTTGAAAAATATGATATATTCAACAAGACATATTCGAGTTTTAGAGCACGAAGTGCTCAAATTTTACATGAAAATGGAAATAAAAGCAGAGACGCATCATACAGCACAGTTTTCTAGTGCCTCATATCCACTGAACATAAAGTCGCTCTCTGAAAAGTTCCCAAAGCTAGATTAAATTAAACGACATTCCAAATACATATTCTAGATATTGGTTTTATTCATTCGAATCTAGGATGTCTGTGAAATTTCGCTCAGGTTGAATAAAAATGTTTTTTGAAGTTTTCGTAAAAATCTGCAACCAAACAATGGCGCGTGAACTTTTTGTGTGTTTCCCTCCAGCTGAAAACAAACTTATTACGACGAGTAACATACGTCCAGTGAATAAAAACGGAAAGAAACCTGTAGAGAAATGATATTTCTTCCGCTGCACAATTTTACGACGGTAGAATATTTTTCTATTGAGAAAAACTCGTAAATTTTCTGTCAACATACCTGCGAAGACAAATCAGTCGGTTCTACTTTAACTATTAATATCTTTCTACTGTGATCATTGAAAAATACACAGTTTATCTAACCTGCAAGATTAATGACTGTTGAGCAATTTGATATGCTATATGTGAATGTTTTTGATAGAATTATACTAAAAATTATCATAAAAGTCTTCGAAGAAGCACATAATCATTTTACCGAGATCGCGTAATGGATTTTACAAGTTATTTTTAAGGGTGTCTTCGTCGAGGTCCGCGTTCGTCTGTTATAAATAAACGAGGCCTTGAATGGCGTTATTTTCAAATCGTTATTCGTAGTATAAACTTCGTAAAGGATAATATTTTGAATCGTTCAAAATGGCAGACGTAGCAGCACCAGCACCAGCACCAGCTAAATCACCAAAGAAAAAGGCAGCAGCTAAGCCAAAGAAGCCTTCAGCACATCCTAAATACAGCGAGATGATTGGGAAAGCCATCGCTGCTTTGAAAGAACGTGGAGGTTCCTCAAGGCAAGCAATTTTGAAGTACATCATGGCCAACTTCAACGTCGGAAAAGATGCCAAGTCAGTAAACGCTCATTTAAAACTTGCACTCAGAGCCGGAGTTAAGAACAACAGTTTGAAGCAGTCCAAGGGAACTGGAGCATCCGGATCTTTCAGAATTGGAGAAGCAAAACAAGCTAAAAAGAAGCCAGCAAAGGCAAAGAAAGCAGCTAAACCTAAGGCTGCCAAGCCAAAGAAGGCAAAGAGCACACCTAAGAAAAAGAAGGCAGCAAAGAAACCAGCTGGAGAGAAAAAGGCAGCCAAGCCTAAAGCTAAGAAACCAGCAGCAAAGAAAGCAGCCAAGCCAAAGAAGGCAGCCAAGTCACCAGCTAAAAAGAAGGCAGCCAAACCAAAAGCCAAGAAGACACCAAAGAAGAAGTAAACTGTTCCAGACTACAGTCTGCAGAGGCTATTCAGCCACCAAAAGCCCTTTTAAGGGCTACCCAATTTGTTCAAAAAGAATCTACAATTGTTGTACATTAGTTATCAAACTAAATATAGCTGAGCCCTACCCTGCCCTTTTCTTTTTTCTTCACTTTGCACTGTTCTTTGAAATATTTTTTTCAGTCAAATTATTTCCATTTTTTGCTTCATTTCACTCCTTAAGAGTATACTATTTCTAACATTTATGCAGTTGCCTTTTGGGAAAATTATTTTTAGTAAGGAAATATTAAAGATATATCATTTTACTTTCACGCACATATTTTTTGAACTGATTAAAATTCTTTCAAAATAATATTCGATTAAAATACAATCTAAGAATAAAGGAAGTGATAGTTTTTTTTATTCATTTTCTTTTTTTGGGGGGGTGGGGGGCAAATCACACATTTAAACACTTCAACCAACTAATTCATTTTTCTCATTATGTGATTTTTTTCTCCCTTCTTATTCATTTTCATCTTGACTGAAATTTTTTAGAGGACTTTTTCTACACGTATGCAATGTCAAAGGTTGGACGTCTATTTCATATCAACTAGTCAATGGGGAGGTAACTCTAAATTAAACTCAGTACTTTTTTCGGTACTAATATACTGTAAAAATGTGCTGATTATGTGACGTCCATTTTCACTGAACTAGTACACAATTTTATTTAGGGGCCAGCTGAGGACCACATATCCAACTATCGCGGTCATCACGTGACTTTTACAATTCAGTTGTATATCATTAATGGCCGATTGATTATCAATGAAAATGAACGGGCTACATAGATTAAACGATCATAACTTTTTTGTTACATTGTGTATTTTACCTTCCAACCCCGCGTTTTATAGTATTTTCATTTTTACAATTAAAAATGTTTTCAGTTTCAGTTCAGAAATATGATTTCTTGCTTCAAATTAAGTTTGAAAATGGAGGTGACATAACCACACGGCCTCCGTTGACTTCTTCGTTAAAACTCAATAAAATTGCAATGGGACCTTCTTATATGATCAATTTTCTCAACATATTATTTGTTAATAATATCCTTCCAACCCCTAAAAAGATAACCAACACATTCATTTAAATGAAATCGAAACCCAAATCAGTTTAGGTAACAAACTTTTTGCTTCAAAATTTGATTGAAAAGTTTACATTTTGGCATTCGTTAACAATATTTTGAAAATGGCGGCCGATGTCGGAAGTAAACAATGACACGACATATATTTATTTAGCAATTAATTAAAAAGTAATTTGTGAAATATTTATTAAAGTGTGTCTTATTTCACCTTTCATTTAATTTTTATATTTATTAGAAACAGTCTCTCCCACTCAAAACAAAGATTTATATGCATCAACCATGCATTGTTTACATTGACCATGTTGACAGCGTAGGTCGACTTGTGAAAATATATATTGTAATATTTTTACGATGAAAATAAAAAAACTGTTGGATGCATGCGTTTTCAGTTTTTGTCTTACCTTAAAGCAGCATAGAATCAAATATTTTGTCTTTTTGATAAAGTGGATACATGCTTTTTGTTTTGATAAAATTTCGAAGTTACGTAAAAAAATGGCGACCAAACAATTTTCAAACGTAGACGATGTTCGACACTAATTTTGCCCATGCAAATAACACAATTTAATTTCTCTGTTTATATTGCAATTAAATATGACACGTTATTGTCACTCTAATAATACCCAAGGACATAACTTGATTAAGGAGATATTAATTAGTCATCAACGTGATCAAAGAAAACCAACTCGGCACCTAATCACGATGTAAGATCATGTAAGTTTTGACAAGACGTATGTAGATTAGTATGGTCCGATTCTTATAGAAATTATTTTATGGTATTATTTTATATTAATAAAAAAAACTTCGAAACCCCGAGGTGAAATATCAATATTTTTCAATTTTCTAAATCATTCATCACACCTGAGACTACTATGTTATAGTAGTCTCAGATCACACTGATTACCAGTAAATTTTTCATAATCCTAATTAAACCAGTAACATGCAGAGTTATCGAACGTAATTATGACTGGTATAGTTGCATATGACCTCCGGGTGCGGGATTTTCTCGCTGCGTTGAAGACCCATTGGTGGCCTTCGGCTGTTGTCTGCTCTTTGGTCGGGTTGTTGTCTCTTTGACATCATGATTCCCCATTTGCATTCTCAATTTTACAATACAAAAGATGTATAGATGTATTGTCAACATACAAGTAAACAAATAGAAAATGAATGCAGTGACGTTTGTTATTTTTTGTTTTTGTTTTTTTTTTTGTCAAATTTACTACAATTGTGTATTAAAAGTTAGCAGGAAACTCTAAAGTATGGAGGTTTTTGTTAAACATTTAACAGTTCTGCAATTATTTTTCATTTTATTACATGCAGATATATATAGTGCGAGTGTACTTACATTCATATATCATCAGTCTTTTATGTTTGGACTCGCTTTTCATCGTGGTTCTATCGTTGGAGATGTGTGTTTGGGGTTGGGGGATAGTAAAAGGAGCGTTCCTGTTATTGACGATAGCTGATTATGTAACCATATTGATACTTTTCTTCACCTCTCGAATTTTCCTTTGTTTTACTCGTGTATGAAATAAATGCACCTACTTGCTTTTATGTTTCTTTAAAATGGGTTGTCCTGTTTGTTTTTCTCTTCTTTTTTCTCTCTGTTTTTTAGTGTTTTGACGACTTGTCTGTGTCTTTGTTATGTCATTTTAATCTGTTCAAAGCACGCGAGATGAATAAACCAGAAACAATACAGTGACGTCACATACGTAGCATGTCTACTGTTATGAACTAAAACAAGGATGGACGGACATTTGTACAAAAGGTAAGAAAAGGGTTTATTTCTTTGATAACATGTATCATGCATTTTAAAGGATTGTTTACGAAATTGTAGGATTCTAATATAACAGAAGAGGTTATTTTCATATTGAAATGACAGCAACTTAACGACACAGAAAAACAAAGTCTACTAGTATATACAGACAATGTGTGACTGACAGTATTAAATGCGCTTATTTGTGTATACATTGAGAAACGTTTGTTGCTGCCGTTTTCAATTAAGACTACCCTAACCCCCGGACAGCAAACACACCTCTTTTCGCCAAGACATTTTCCTTCATTTGTGATAAATACTGTATATTGAGACAGAGAAAAGGCGTTCAATGTCAATATGAAAAGAATAGCTTCAAATATGATAATTCATAAAAACATTTAAAGAAGAAAATAAAAAAGGAGATAGAAAGTAATAAAAAGCCCAAGAATGAAATATTTGATTATAGATTAAGTCCTCTATTGGAAATAAAAAATCTATCGATCTGGTGTTGTTGGGTTTCTGTCCCAAAGAACATGCCAAACTTGTCCTGTTGTTTACGTTTCTAACCATAGCTGAAAAGAGGGATAGGATTCACGTTTGATAGAAATTGATTCTTATTTCTTTTTTTTCTGGATTTGATACGACTAAGAGAGAACTAGAAAGAAAAAGTTTTAAATTTCTACTGGTTGTCAACATCATGAGGTTGTCCTAACATGTAGAAAATAGTTCCATCATGCTGGGAATAAAAAACGACCTAAATAGTACTTTGGATTTACTATTAAAGTGTGTGTTCTATTCATAAACAACTAAATTTCATGTCAAACAATTACTCCCCCCCCCCCCAAAAAAAAATAATCCTCCACAAAAATGAAAAAGAAACAGAAAAAAAGGTTTACAAATTAAGAAAGAAAGAAAAACCCACAGCATGTTGAGACTTGAACTAACATCCATTAAACGCTATGCTAATTGGCCTTCACAGAAATCAACAGACAATAGAGAAACCTATTTATTTATTTTTTTAACGGAGAATATCTTTTTCTTCGTTTCAATCTTGCTTTGGGATTCTTTTTACATTAAATCTGCTTGTTAATGTTGCAATAGGTAACAAATATTTCAGTCCAACTATCATTCATTTAAAATATATACACCCCCCTTTTCCTCGGGATTTTTTTTTGTGGGGGAAGGGGTTCAGTTAAATACAGTGGAGACTATTTTTGCCCCAAGTCTAATGGTTAACATTGGTGTGATTTTTGTCTTTATGTCTCTTTTGAATCGTCCGTGTGCATGCTGCTTCACCCGGTACCGATTCTGGTCTTATACTTGCCTAGCCTATATAGGAAAAATGCATATTTATGGCCAGAGTCTTCACCGTGAACCCCCCCTCTTTTTTTAAAAACAGATGAACCTTTGTAATTGTTAATTTAGAGGCAAATGATGTGTACAACTTTCGAATTATAAAAATACAAGAATCTTGGGTTTGGTTGGTATATTTTGTATTGAAACTTTCAGGTGGCCAGTTCGAGCACGGACCATCGTTTAATTGATAATAAAATTAAGTACATATATTTTTTGAAAAATATGATATATTCAACAAGACATATTCGAGTTTTAGAGCACGAAGTGCTCAAATTTTACATGAAAATGGAAATAAAAGCAGAGACGCATCATACAGCACAGTCAAGTTTCTAGTGCCTCATATCCACTGAACATAAAGTCGCTCTCTGAAAAGTTCCCAAAGCTAGATTAAATTAAACGACATTCCAAATACATATTCTAGATATTGGTTTTATTCATTCGAATCTAGGATGTCTGTGAAATTTCGCTCAGGTTGAATAAAAATGTTTTTTGAAGTTTTCGTAAAAATCTGCAACCAAACAATGGCGCGTGAACTTTTTGTGTGTTTCCCTCCAGCTGAAAACAAACTTATTACGACGAGTAACATACGTCCAGTGAATAAAAACGGAAAGAAACCTGTAGAGAAATGATATTTCTTCCGCTGCACAATTTTACGACGGTAGAATATTTTTCTATTGAGAAAAACTCGTAAATTTTCTGTCAACATACCTGCGAAGACAAATCAGTCGGTTCTACTTTAACTATTAATATCTTTCTACTGTGATCATTGAAAAATACACAGTTTATCTAACCTGCAAGATTAATGACTGTTGAGCAATTTGATATGCTATATGTGAATGTTTTTGATAGAATTATACTAAAAATTATCATAAAAGTCTTCGAAGAAGCACATAATCATTTTACCGAGATCGCGTAATGGATTTTACAAGTTATTTTTAAGGGTGTCTTCGTCGAGGTCCGCGTTCGTCTGTTATAAATAAACGAGGCCTTGAAAGGCGTTATTTTCAAATCGTTATTCGTAGTATAAACTTCGTAAAGGATAATATTTTGAATCGTTCAAAATGGCAGACGTAGCAGCACCAGCACCAGCTAAATCACCAAAGAAAAAGGCAGCAGCTAAGCCAAAGAAGCCTTCAGCACATCCTAAATACAGCGAGATGATTGGGAAAGCCATCGCTGCTTTGAAAGAACGTGGAGGTTCCTCAAGGCAAGCAATTTTGAAGTACATCATGGCCAACTTCAACGTCGGAAAAGATGCCAAGTCAGTAAACGCTCATTTAAAACTTGCACTCAGAGCCGGAGTTAAGAACAACAGTTTGAAGCAGTCCAAGGGAACTGGAGCATCCGGATCTTTCAGAATTGGAGAAGCAAAACAAGCTAAAAAGAAGCCAGCAAAGGCAAAGAAAGCAGCTAAACCTAAGGCTGCCAAGCCAAAGAAGGCAAAGAGCACACCTAAGAAAAAGAAGGCAGCAAAGAAACCAGCTGGAGAGAAAAAGGCAGCCAAGCCTAAAGCTAAGAAACCAGCAGCAAAGAAAGCAGCCAAGCCAAAGAAGGCAGCCAAGTCACCAGCTAAAAAGAAGGCAGCCAAACCAAAAGCCAAGAAGACACCAAAGAAGAAGTAAACTGTTCCAGACTACAGTCTGCAGAGGCTATTCAGCCACCAAAAGCCCTTTTAAGGGCTACCCAATTTGTTCAAAAAGAATCTACAATTGTTGTACATTAGTTATCAAACTAAATATAGCTGAGCCCTACCCTGCCCTTTTCTTTTTTCTTCACTTTGCACTGTTCTTTGAAATATTTTTTTCAGTCAAATTATTTCCATTTTTTGCTTCATTTCACTCCTTAAGAGTATACTATTTCTAACATTTATGCAGTTGCCTTTTGGGAAAATTATTTTTAGTAAAGAAATATTAAAGATATATCATTTTACTTTCACGCACATATTTTTTGAACTGATTAAAATTCTTTCAAAATAATATTCGATTAAAATACAATCTAAGAATAAAGGAAGTGATATTTTTTTTTATTCATTCTCTTTTTTTTTTTGGGGGGGGGGGGGGGTTGGGGGGCAAATCACACATTTAAACACTTCAACTAACTAATTCATTTTTCTCATTATGTGATTTTTTTCTCCCTTCTTATTCATTTTCATCTTGACTGAAATTTTTTAGAGGACTTTTTCTACACGTATGCAATGTCAAAGGTTGGACGTCTATTTCATATCAACTAGTCAATGGGGAGGTAACTCTAAATTAAACTCAGTACTTTTTTCGGTACTAATATACTGTAAAAATGTGCTGATTATGTGACGTCCATTTTCACTGAACTAGTACACAATTTTATTTAGGGGCCAGCTGAGGACCACCTCCGGGTGCGGGATTTTCTCGCTGCGTTGAAGACCCATTGGTGGCCTTCGGCTGTTGTCTGCTCTTTGGTCGGGTTGTTGTCTCTTTGACATCATGATTCCCCATTTGCATTCTCAATTTTACAATACAAAAGATGTATAGATGTATTGTCAACATACAAGTAAACAAATAGAAAATGAATGCAGTGACGTTTGTTATTTTTTGTTTTTGTTTTTTTTTTTGTCAAAATTACTACAATTGTGTATTAAAAGTTAGCAGGAAACTCTAAAGTATGGAGGTTTTTGTTAAACATTTAACAGTTCTGCAATTATTTTTCATTTTATTACATGCAGATATATATAGTGCGAGTGTACTTACATTCATATATCATCAGTCTTTTATGTTTGGACTCGCTTTTCATCGTGGTTCTATCGTTGGAGATGTGTGTTTGGGGTTGGGGGATAGTAAAAGGAGCGTTCCTGTTATTGACGATAGCTGATTATGTAACCATATTGATACTTTTCTTCACCTCTCGAATTTTCCTTTGTTTTACTCGTGTATGAAATAAATGCACCTACTTGCTTTTATGTTTCTTTAAAATGGGTTGTCCTGTTTGTTTTTCTCTTCTTTTTTCTCTCTGTTTTTTAGTGTTTTGACGACTTGTCTGTGTCTTTGTTATGTCATTTTAATCTGTTCAAAGCACGCGAGATGAATAAACCAGAAACAATACAGTGACGTCACATACGTAGCATGTCTACTGTTATGAACTAAAACAAGGATGGACGGACATTTGTACAAAAGGTAAGAAAAGGGTTTATTTCTTTGATAACATGTATCATGCATTTTAAAGGATTGTTTACGAAATTGTAGGATTCTAATATAACAGAAGAGGTTATTTTCATATTGAAATGACAGCAACTTAACGACACAGAAAAACAAAGTCTTCTAGTATATACAGACAATGTGTGACTGACAGTATTAAATGCGCTTATTTGTGTATACATTGAGAAACGTTTGTTGCTGCCGTTTTCAATTAAGACTACCCTAACCCCCGGACAGCAAACACACCTCTTTTCGCCAAGACATTTTCCTTCATTTGTGATAAATACTGTATATTGAGACAGAGAAAAGGCGTTCAATGTCAATATGAAAAGAATAGCTTCAAATATGATAATTCATAAAAACATTTAAAGAAGAAAATAAAAAAGGAGATAGAAAGTAATAAAAAGCCCAAGAATGAAATATTTGATTATAGATTAAGTCCTCTATTGGAAATAAAAAATCTATCGATCTGGTGTTGTTGGGTTTCTGTCCCAAAGAACATGCCAAACTTGTCCTGTTGTTTACGTTTTTAACCATAGCTGAAAAGAGGGATAGGATTCACGTTTGATAGACATTGATTCTTATTTCTTTTTTTTCTGGATTTGATACGACTAAGAGAGAACTAGAAAGAAAAAGTTTTAAATTTCTACTGGTTGTCAACATCATGAGGTTGTCCTAACATGTAGAAAATAGTTCCATCATGCTGGGAATAAAAAACGACCTAAATAGTACTTTGGATTTACTATTAAAGTGTGTGTTCTATTCATAAACAACTAAATTTCATGTCAAACAATTACTCCCCCCCCCCAAAAAAAAAAAATAATCCTCCACAAAAATGAAAAAGAAACAGAAAAAAAGGTTTACAAATTAAGAAAGAAAGAAAAACCCACAGCATGTTGAGACTTGAACTAACATCCATTAAACGCTATATGCTAATTGGCCTTCACAGAAATCAACAGACAATAGAGAAACCTATTTATTTATTTTTTTAACGGAGAATATCTTTTTCTTCGTTTCAATCTTGCTTTGGGATTCTTTTTACATTAAATCTGCTTGTTAATGTTGCAATAGGTAACAAATATTTCAGTCCAACTATCATTCATTGAAAATATATACACCCCCCTTTTCCTCGGGATTTTTTTTTGTGGGGGAAGGGGTTCAGTTAAATACAGTGGAGACTATTTTTGCCCCAAGTCTAATGGTTAACATTGGTGTGATTTTTGTCTTTATGTCTCTTTTAAATCGTCCGTGTGTATGCTGCTTCACCCGGTACCGATTCTGGTCTTATACTTGCCTAGCCTATATAGGAAAAATGCATATTTATGGCCAGAGTCTTCATCGTGAACCCCCCCCCCCCCCCCCCCTTTTTTTAAAAACAGATGAACCTTTGTAATTGTTAATTTAGAGGCAAATGATGTGTACAACTTTCGAATTATAAAAATACAAGAATCTTGGGTTTGGTTGGTATATTTTGTATTGAAACTTTCAGGTGGCCAGTTCGAGCACGGACCATCGTTTAATTGATAATAAAATTAAGTACATATATTTTTTGAAAAATATGATATATTCAACAAGACATATTCGAGTTTTAGAGCACGAAGTGCTCAAATTTTACATGAAAATGGAAATAAAAGCAGAGACGCATCATAAAGCACAGTTTTCTAGTGCCTCATATCCACTGTACATAAAGTCGCTCTCTGAAAAGTTCCCAAAGCTAGATTAAATTAAACGACATCCCAAATACATATTCTAGATATTGGTTTTATTCATTCGAATCTAGGATGTCTGTGAAATTTCGCTCAGGTTGAATAAAAATGTTTTTTGAAGTTTTCGTAAAAATCTGCAACCAAACAATGGCGCGTGAACTTTTTGTGTGTTTCCCTCCAGCTGAAAACAAACTTATTACGACGAGTAACATACGTCCAGTGAATAAAAACGGAAAGAAACCTGTAGAGAAATGATATTTCTTCCGCTGCACAATTTTACGACGGTAGAATATTTTTCTATTGAGAAAAACTCGTAAATTTTCTGTCAACATACCTGCGAAGACAAATCAGTCGGTTCTACTTTAACTATTAATATCTTTCTACTGTGATCATTGAAAAATACACAGTTTATCTAACCTGCAAGATTAATGACTGTTGAGCAATTTGATATGCTATATGTGAATGTTTTTGATAGAATTATACTAAAAATTATCATAAAAGTCTTCGAAGAAGCACATAATCATTTTACCGAGATCGCGTAATGGATTTTACAAGTTATTTTTAAGTTTTTATATGAACAGTCAAAGCAAATTATCTGGTTATTTAATGTAGAAAATGTTGAGTTACTTAAAATAATATGTAATTTTATATACAAACATCTTCCTTAGTGAAGATTAGTTAAAGGAAATCTATGTGTGTATATACATTTGATTGGACATAGAAAATTATATTCATCTGAATATCACAAACATACTAGCCGATTAAAAAAAAAAAAATTTTTAAGATATATTATTTATTCAAATGTTCTCTTATATCCTTGAGGCATCGTCCCCTGGTATCAACTGCATTCAAGTTACCTATGATGCTTCCTTGTTTGCTTTTGATACAGGTAGGAAAGAGACATTTACACACATTTTACATGCCTATGGCCCATAAGGTATCGCCCCCTGGTGTCAGCTGCCTTTAGGAAACCATAATGCTTTCCTATTTGCTGCTGACACAGGATGAGTCATGGACATGTTTAATTTCTACTTTCTTTTTGGCTAATTATTATATATTTAATTGATCCAACTTTTTGTGTACTATACATATGTGGATATCTATTTTTCTTTTTTTCTTTTTGGGCTGCTTGTTTGTTATCTATATCAACCACACTTGCAATAAAATGCATTAGTATTAAAAAAAAAACAACATACTATAGATTCTTTATCTACGTATTCTTTAAGAACTTAAATAGTTCTCGTTTAACTTTTTTTTTTTTTTATCTCATTGTTTGTATTGTATTATGAAAAAAATATTGATGTTGTAATGTTTATGCCCTTTGGGGCCCATAATTGGAAATAAAATATCTTATCTTATCTTATCTTATCTTAAGGGTGTCTTCGTCGAGGTCCGCGTTCGTCTGTTATAAATAAACGAGGCCTTGAATGGCGTTATTTTCAAATCGTTATTCGTAGTATAAACTTCGTAAAGGATAATATTTTGAATCGTTCAAAATGGCAGACGTAGCAGCACCAGCACCAGCACCAGCTAAATCACCAAAGAAAAAGGCAGCAGCTAAGCCAAAGAAGCCTTCAGCACATCCTAAATACAGCGAGATGATTGGGAAAGCCATCGCTGCTTTGAAAGAACGTGGAGGTTCCTCAAGGCAAGCAATTTTGAAGTACATCATGGCCAACTTCAACGTCGGAAAAGATGCCAAGTCAGTAAACGCTCATTTAAAACTTGCACTCAGAGCCGGAGTTAAGAACAACAGTTTGAAGCAGTCCAAGGGAACTTGAGCATCCGGATCTTTCAGAATTGGAGAAGCAAAA